CCTTCCAATATCCATAATCAAAATATCTGCGATATTTGTAAAGGAAAATTTATGAGATCCTTAAAAATTGACTGAAACAAAATGCTCATGAATGCATGAGTGCAAGATGCAACACCCACAAATCGGACACACAAAGTACACAGGTTCAAAGGTTTGGCACGGGCATGAAGCCAAAGGTACAAGAACCAACCCACATCAAAACATGTAGAACAAGGTTCTGAAAAGGTTCCAGAGTCATAATTTCATCTTTTGTATATTATCAGCTTAAACAACTACTCGTCGTCCAACAATATTCTTAAGAGAAACTCGTCTGAGTGTGGTATCGTGTGACAACTAATTCAATTCTACACCTGAATAGTCACTGCACCACGTCCTAATAAGGCCAAGATGGGTTAAAGGATTATAAGGTCCTCATCTTCTCAGGCTCCCAGGTCAGAAAAGGTAATGCTAATTACAACTACTCGTAAGACATCAGTAATCCCAAAGGGGCCTCTGCTGAGCGGGGGATCTCAAGTCAGCTTAGTAAGGACTACTCCACATAAGCCAACAAGACTATACCACCCTCCTATTATAAGTGCACTCAAGTTCGGGTATATGACTTATCTCACCACACAGATCACCAGACACCCAAACAGAACGAGCAATAACAAACAAATCAAACAAAAAGCGATAAATAAATCAAAGTAGGCTAAACCCCCTATGGCATTTTCTCCCTAGCAGAGTCGCCACTTTTCTGTAACGGTGAAATTTGTGAGTGTAAGCTATTAATTAACTTAACTAAAAAATGCAAGAGTAACCATCGAACTTTTATTTTATCCAAAGTGAAAGAAAAAAGAGCGAACAAAACCTAAAGAATTCTAAAACAAGAACAGATAAACAGAGACTGGATAAGGGGGTTGGTTACACGATGGGAAGTGTTAGCACCCAAAACTTCTATAGTACTCTATAGGAGCCCTTTGGAATATCTACGCTTTTTGGTTTGAAAATGGTTTGTTTGAAATGAGATTGAGGAGATGAGAAGAGATTTATTTTAAAGATTTTTGTGTTTGGAGAGACTTATCGTCTCATGCCTACGTACCCACAAAGTGAAATATAGGATCAAACCCCGTAGTTCGTGGTACAAATAACAAAAAATTGTTGGTTATGATTGATTTTTTAAATGTATAGACAAATCGTCATTTTAAGGAGAAAAATACGACTAGTCACCCACAAGTATAAGGTAACATTTGCATCACCTAAAGATGGAGGGTTTTGCTTGGATTAAAATCAACAAGTTTATCACTCAACATCTAAGTGGAAAATGTCAACATCTTAAATACTATGGGGAATAGGATAATTACATCTCAACTATGAAAATGACTAATGTATAAACTTTGAAAAAGTTTTTAAAAGAAAAAGTGCACGAAGGCACAAAAAGTTTGAATGAGGTGAAGTGTTTTTTATATATTTTTTTTTAAATTAGTCAAAGTATGATTAACATTGATTGGCATTTATTAAAGAAAACAAAGTTTAAAAATCACTTGACAAGAGTCAAGGTTTTTATTGTGAAAGCGGTTTTAAGTTTAAAAACAGGAAGGTTTTTGAAAAAGGGAGAAGATTTTGAAAATTTAAGAAGGGGAGGAGATGAAGTGAATATCCTAGAAAGTAAAATAAAAGTTAGAGATAAGAAGGATCTAACCAAATTTTAGCACACTCCATAGCAAGCCAAATAAGAATTTCATCCATCTTGAGCATAAGCAAATGCGCAATCCAAATAAAGACAAAGATCCATAATACTCTAAGCACAGGGAAGGAGATCTAATTCTAAGTTCAATGGTCCAAGAATAGTCTAAGAGGTCCAAGGTCTAAGAATAGTCCAAGAGGATAACCACAAAGTTAGGAGCACCAAGTTTTTTTATAGGTTTAATCCTTTATTAGTGTTTTGAACAAGATATGGTCCAAATGGACAAAAAGAAAAATGGCAGAAACATAAACATGTGTCCAACGAACAAAGGAAAAATAACGGAAGCATAAAAAATAATATGATATGAGATGATAAAAATAGAGCATAAAATCAAAGAGAGATAGTGAGCAAGAAGGAAACATAAACAAAATTAGTACAATAATATTGTTAATGAGTTAGTGATTAGTCGTTATAACAAATGATCAACGGTGGTTAACTCATGCACTTAGGTCAAAGTTAATGAAGACTCATTAGAGAATTGATAAAATCAAAGTCTCCTAACAACAAGTTTCATAAGTAATGGACCTAAGACAAATAATCAACCATACTTGGACTTTCAAACATAAGTTTGAGTCACGAATGATCACTTTCCAATTACAGGATAATTTAGCGCTATGTTAAGCAATTATAATCGGGTTTATGTAGAAACCACGACTATCTGAGACCGGTCAATAAAAATGTTAGTGCTAATGCATGCTAGAGAAGTGATATGTAGATCACTTTCCGAAAGAAATATCACACGAAAAGAAAATAGGTAACAATTTCGTCTTCATCAAGAACTTAAAATAAGTTCAAACGATATCGAAGATTTTCACCGATCAAAAAAAAAAAGAGCAGAGGGAATAACAAATTGAATTACAATCTCAAAGTCATTCCATCTTTAAGTTCATCCACTCATCTTGGAGGACTAAAGCACTAAACATATCATTAACTCAAAGCACCTAAAATGAATTGAACAATTCACTTTAAAGATAGATTTGAATTAGTGAATGTTTATCCAACTTCATCTACACCCTAAGTCCAATGAATTTAAAGAGGAAAATGACCTTTAAAAGTGCATTTCAAGACAAAAACCAAAAGGAAATGGAAGAAGAAGAAGAAAGAACCAAAATAGTCCCAAAACAAAGCCAAAAATCCAAAAACAACACTGTGTAATTGATTACCACCAGAAGGGTAATCGATTACACCTGCTAAAACAGCAGCAAAACAAGCTGAAAATGAACAAAAACTTGATGAATCATTTCTTCAAACACCACATAATCAATGATGCAATTGAGCATAAAAATTCAAGTAAAATAACAGCAAACAACACCAATAGAACATAATTTTCAAGATCCAATGATCAAGAAATAAGAATCAACAATAGATCATACTTTTAAGGATGTACCAAGAGCAACAATGGTGGATCAAGAAATTAACACTCCAAATTTAAAAATTCTTCAAATCAACTCTACAAACCATATTCCAAAGCCTTGATCTACTTAAATTGATGATGAAAAAGTGAAAGGATGAAGGTTTAACTCAAAGATTAGTAAGTTCTAATGATGAACTTACTAATTTTCAAATGAAGAAAGAGCTTCGGTAAATTTGGTAGTTGGAAAAAAAAGAGTAAAGAAAGAATTTGAAAAGGCAAATTTGGATATCAAAAGCTTGTGAAATGATATAAATGAAGCCTCTATTTATAGAAGTTAGGCTTGGAAAATTTGGTGGATTGAAGTTTGGTTTGGAAACAAATATAGGCTTGGATTTTGAATTTGAAGGAAAATTAATTATCAAGTGGTGATTAGTGAAGGTGTGTGGTGAGAATTAATTATGCTGAGGTAGGGGAATTAAAATAAAGTGATCTAGAATATTCTCATGATGAAACATTTGAATTTGGTGTCAAAAATGCTGCAGAATTTTAATTTGGCCAATTTTCACAAAATGCGCACAGGGCAATTGATTACCCTAATACTGATAATCGATTACCACAATAAAATAATGGTGAAAATTTGTCTTTTTGATGTGTTGTCTTGGCTTTGTCTCGATTCTTTTTGCTTGTCAAAGAAGGCATGGAAATAAACACATGAACCTTGGAGTCTCTTGAATAAAAGTCAATCAAATCTTAGGAGACTCTTGATCAGATGATTTTGAATTGTTTGCAGATCAACTTTGACTTTTTTCAAATGAAATTCACCCGAGCTTAGGGACTAGTATTTGATATCCTTTATCCAAATTCTTCTTGAAAAAGTTAGTGAAGGAAAAACAAACATTTTTTGAGATTTTGAATAATCGTTTGTAAACATAAACACAAACAAATATCAAACAAATAAGAAAACAAGAGTGTCCGGTGATCTCTCAAGAACAAACCTGCAAAGAAAGGCAAGAGAACCAAAGCTTGTGATCTCATTTGTGGAATGAGATGCAAATGATAAGTGGGATTTTAGGGGTAAAAATTAGGATATTATAGGGTTTCTCTTTCATGTTAGAGAGCGAGAGAGATATCATGAAATGAAAGTGGAATGAGGAAAAATGAATGTTGACTCAGTATTATCTCACTATTGCTAAAACAACATTGTCCTTCTACTCCTTCCATTCAAACAAGTTAGAATACCCGTCTACCTGACCCGCCCATATCAACCCCCTTAAAATCTCATATTTCAATCGCATGGCTTAGTAAGCCAATTCAACCCACCCAATTCCCTTTTTTTTCTTCTTTCTAGTGGATTAAGTCAGGTGTACGAATCCTATTTTAACTTTATTATAATTCTCTTCAATTTCTAATATTAGTTCTTGTAAGGTTAATCTTCAAAGTTATTTTATTGTTTTGTTACATGTATTTTTTCTTAATAGTAGTCTCTTAACATTTTTTAACAAAATTTTTAATTCTAAATCAAGTCAACGAGTATTTAATTTGAAATTATTAAAAATATGACTCGAAATTTAGATTAATTGTCAAGTTAATTTATAAATAAATCATATTTTTGGGTCTACAAAAGACTATAAACATATCTTCGAAGAATAATGAGTAGTAACTAACAATTATCTTATCACTTAGAGATTGAGAGCAATCTTGTTTTCAAAACTACCAAACTTATTTTTAGATATATAAAATGAAAGTTTGCCACATCCACATTTTTTAATAATATTTTATATAAATTAAAACATGAAGGCCATTTGGTCCACTTTAGTCCCCAACCAAAGCATGATAGATAAACAAATATATTTTACAATTTATTTGAACGTTATCCTTTAAAATTACATGTTAAATATTATTAAACTTTATAACTAAATTTAATTAAGAATCTTGGTTGAGGTGAAACCTTGCAAGCCCAACTTTATGCCCAAGAGCTTTGATGTCTTGTTGCACCTGTGCTCTGAAATCATTATAAGTAAATGGCTTGTACTTGGAGCTCTCGATTATGGCGTCTTCACCAGGGAATACAAAGTAGCATATTGAAATCCTCTCTATATCTTTCTCCACCTTCACTCTATGTGAAGCACTCTTGTATGTGTCGCTGCTAATAGCCTAAACCAAACAAAATCCATTATTATGTACTATATAACAACTTCATTATAATAAAATAATAAAATGATAAATAATTCTATCAAAAAAGAAGAAAAAAATTAAGACCTGCATCATGTCACCAAGGTTGATAACCAATGTGTTGGAAATGGGCTTTACGGTTAGCCATTGATCATCTTTGAGAACCTGAAGTCCGCTCACATGGTCATCTTGGTTCAATATCGACAAGACTGAGCTATCGGTATGAACCTCCATGCCCCAACCAGCATCAGTGCGTGGGTAGCGATACACACGCACGATGCCAGTGTTTTCAGCCAAATAGGACTTTGTGTCTTTGAGATTCAGATCAAGGTTCTTAGCCATTGCTTCAAATAAAGTTGTAGCAACTCTTGAAAGATGGGTTGCATACTCCACTAGCAAAAGCCTTAAAAAAAAATTAAAAAAAAAATTTAACTCTCAGAACAAACCACGGAAACTCGAGTCTAACTCATTTCTATAAAATCAATTTATAAAAAAAAAAGTTCTCGTTATTAATAAACACATTTTCTGTAATTATTTTGTTTCTATGATTCTTATTCTGTTGACAATTACTACCAAAATAGATAAGACAAATTCTGGTTTGCAGGTTAACTTTATGACAAAAAGTCTTTTGTATTCTGTCTCTTCCTCCATGTTGTATCATTTATGTGCATGTGTAACAATTCACTTTTAATTATGGACCAATAATTGTATTTAAATTTAATATTAAAGACATATAATATTTTAAAGAGACTTTATTTAAAAACTAACAATTCTATGTGCACATCCATGGTTTGTCTCTTATCACTTGTTTGTTTCTGAGTCAATTGGTTCCATTTATGACAGGTTATAAAATTACTTGTTTTTTAAGTAAATATATTACTAACACAGTAACTAATTTTGCTTCAATCAAATGACTCCATTTTTAAAATATCTGCAGATGAATTTTTATTCCACTTTTTTCAATATAGTTTCTTTACTTTAATACAGTAAATTTTTAGGAAGGCTAGTTTATAAAATAATTTTTTATTTTATTAAAAAATAATTAAGGTTAACAAATATTCTCAGCTCATAACTAGTTATTATAATTAATAGTATGATTGAAAAAATATTCAAATTAAAAGTATGTGCACTTTAAATAGTTGTTATTAATTTAGTTACAAAAATGAGAGTTTTTCCTATTTAGAAAATATATATTTAAAACACTGTAAGAAAAAGTCCGCCAAGTGATTTAGTGACGTGCTAATCACGTGGAAAAAAAACACTTTACCAAGTGATTCCCACGTCACTAAATCATTTAAATAATAAATTATTCAGATCTAAAATCTTCAATCAAAAATTAGAATTTTAAGAAGGAGGGAAATTTGAAACTTTAAAAAATTTAGTCGTGGCGTGTAAAAATTAGTTTTTTTTTTCTTTGATTGGTGTTAAAATTAGTTTTTTTTTCTTTCAAAATTTAGTCAAAATATTAATTTTATTTTTAACATAATAAAAAACATCTTTTAACAAAATGGTTAAAATATTATTTAATTAAAAAATTTATAAATATTCTTTAAAATGTTCAAAATAACCCTAAATAAACCGGTCCAAGTTCAGAGGTAACTTTTTTTAATCAAAATATTAATTTTATTTTTAAAATAACAAAAAATATCTTTTAACAAAATAGTTACAATATTATTTAATTAAAAAATTTATAAATATTCTTTAAAATGTTCGAAACAATCTTAAATAAACGTCCAAATTCAGAGGTAATTAAATTTATTCATTAAAAACATAACATATATATCCTAATATTTTCAACAACAAAATTATTTATAGTTAGTTTCTTAATAAGTCTCCCAAAATACACTTAACAGGACATGTAGTTTTAATTTTTTATGGTAGTATTCCTTGACTCTTGTTAATTTTATTAAAGAATTAAGTTAATGGATAAAAATTAAATAAAACTACACGTTAAGACTCATGACTCATCTATCAATCAAGTCTAATACTAATCCACAAATTAATGGATTTGAATAACCCAATTGGTAGAAAGAAACTAGAAACACCCATTCATGCAATGTTATGGTGAACAACAAAAAATGTCATACTCAAAATATTTGCACCCATTATTCTATGTTTCATATTTTCCACACATGCACATACTCCTAGCAAATAAAACACAAAAGATAGCCCACAAAGATACAAAATAATAAAACAAAATTATAAAGTTGTTAACTAAGAATCACTCACATCAGAGAAAAAACCGATCCTGACACGTCAATACTATATCGATTTTGGATAAGAATAGAAGTTATAATGGTAATTTGTGTGTACCTTATGGACTCAAGTGAAGGAACTTGATGTTGAAATTCATCGAGTTTAGACAATGGTACATCAAAACCTTCAACCCAATTGATATTCTGAGTTTCTTTTGATAAAGCTTTTCCAGATGGAGTTAGGGCAGGGGTACCCCAAAAGTATGTGATAGGACATTCCTTGCATGCTTCTTGTTTGGACTCAAAAGACAAAGAAAACACTTGTTTTGTTACATCTTGAAGCTGTTCCATAAGGGTTAATGGAATTCCATGGTTCACCAAACGAAATAGACCCCATTCCTTGCAAGCTTCATCCAAGTTTTTGTGGTTTAAGTGCTTGAGATCTATGGTTGGAACAGGATCCGAAACATGAATCGGGTTAGAATCCGGGTTGGTTAGGTTTTGTGGTTGGTTGTTTTGGTGGCGGAGAATTGGAGGGTAAGAATCCATGTTGTTCTTTTTTTTTTGTTTTGTATAAAAAAGTTGGGAAATGAAAGTATATGTATATGTGATTCATTCTTATTTTATTATTTTTATACTAGAGAGAGAGCTGTGGAGCCCACACGTGTCCACACGGACCAATTTGCTAGAAGATTCGTAAAAGTTATACTCATTTATTATTCTTTTGGCAGATACACTCATTTACTTTTAACATTTTATATGAGTTTTAAAATATATATTTTCACTATTTTAGAACAATCTAAATACATTGAATTATCATATGAATTATGAAGAGAAGGATGTACAACGAATGTTTGAACTGTTTGAACTTAAGACATGTTGAAGTTTTATTATACATTCTTAAAAAAAAAAATTTGTCGATCTCTTTGGTAATAAATATTTTTGTTGTAAATTATGTAGTAAATCAAATTATAAAATAAAAAATTAGCGGGTCGGCCCACCAACTCGTTAATAAACGGGGTGGACTTGACTTTTGAGCTCGGACGTCTAAGTTGGCCGGCTCCGCCTTGCCCCGCTTTTGGACGAGCATAAACGGAGCGGGTCTAAACAGGGTGGATTGCCCACTTTGCCACCCCTAATCACACATATGGTGTATAATATAGATATTATTTTTAAGTTTGGTCATATGTTTATAGAAGAAGTTCTAATTGTGATAACCATTTGTAGTATTTATATAGCACACAAAGTGTTGGTAGGATATCACTAACGATCTGACATTTAATTTTTGCTATTGTTAAATCGGATTAGACAATTCTCTATTTCTTATGTCAGTTTAGATAGTAGAAATTTTAACCGTCCATCATACATAAATTTAAGAATGTGTCATTTGAGGTATTATTGCACTCTCATTTCTCAAACTACATCTTTTAGACTTTACTGATTCACGTGTTGGAGTGTTAATCTAACAGGTTCTCCTCACCTTGTTGTTCTTGAAGCTCTCGCCACTGCACTAGAAGAGCTTGTTTCTTTGGCACTACATATTTCATGTTCCACCTCGGAATAGTGACGTTATTTGTGGGAATTGACGACTAATTCCCTCGAGTTCCCGTAAAAACCATTGTCTTTTCACCGCTCATCGGCTTCAACTGATCTTCTTTCTACTTTAGTATTCGGTCGATCTTACTTAAACTAATCTAACATTAAGTCTACTCAGTTAGCCGCCCAACGTAACGCCACCACTGTTATTGTAACAGTTAACACTCATGATCCAACGAGAATGGCTTAACCTCTTCCAGCAAAAGAAACTGATTCAGTTCTTATAACTTCTCTTTTTGTTTCAACTCCCCAATAATCCACTTCTTTCGACTATCGACCAAAGAACATTCCAAGTCCTTCAGACTTTTAAATCTTCTCAAGAGTTACTACAAGGTCAAACCTCAAAACAACTTGCATTTCAACCTCTGATCCATAGACAACAGATGCTTAAGAGTCTCCAACAACTTCATACTAACTTAGGCACTCAAGGAGAAAATGAACTTCTCAACAACTTATACAACTCAGTATATCGATAAAACTTGCATTCTTTGCCAAAAGACTCCTCAGAATTGAAGAAAACTTGCAATATGCTTCAATCCCTACACGAGCCAATGTCGCACGACAGTTGCAAAACCATACCACGACCAATCCTTGTCGATTACACCTCTTTAACCAGGCATCTTCTAGTTCTCGAGATTATTTTTCATGTCGAGAAAGTTGATCTCTTATACTTGATTCCAAAGGAAAAAGGTGTTAGCCTTACTCACATGGGATCATGTCATCTTCACCAATCTCCATCGCCTCGTTCCCAAAGGGAAGACAGACACGCCGACAAAATACAAGATTATGGACGAATGAGAAACTCAGTCTCTATTTGTATCCTCGACAGTCAGATCCTGAAGTCTCAGAGAAAACCCCTCATGTTAGACATATACAACGTATATGAATATCTAGACAAGCATATCGAACATGTGGACATTATGCTTTATTATAACCTCCCACAAGGTTTGGTGAAGTGTAAATTGTTCATTTTAAACCTCAAAGGAGCAACCATGACGTGGTTCAAAACCTTGCTTATTGCTCATATAAACTCTTGGAAAGAGCTTTGTGACTCTTTTATTCCCCAATTCAGCGCCCAAAAAATAGCAACCCGCAACAATAGGCATCCTCATTAGAAGTCACCAAAATAAAAAGATAAACCCTACAAGAATACATAGACTGGTTCACTAAGATGTTCATACAGGTATGAGGGACAACTGATGGGCTAAAATGCTAGATATTCAAGAAAGAACTAAGATCAAACTGAATCTTTCACGAGAAGTTAAGACTAGAAATAGATGCGAGATTAAATGACCTCTTGACCAGAGCTCGGCCATACATTAACTATGGGGAGGAACTCATGGCTGAAGAGGTGGAAGGGGGTCGAGGATTAAGGATCACAAGGACAACCGAGCGACAGAAAATGACCATAACTGAAGACTGGACAAGGGAGACAATGGGTCGCGAGCCAGATTTTAAACTTACATCCTACTTAACACATCAAGGAAAAATATTTGCAAGAATGTGCCAACACCGGCATAAAGGAAGTCGGGATAAGAAACCCTTACTCGATAAAAGAATTAGTTAAGATCGATAAGACAATATTATGTTGTTTCTGTAAGTAGAGTATGCACCTAAAAGGGGGTGAATTAGGTATTTAGAATATTTTTCTGGTGTTTAACTTAAGTCTTATAATTTTTCCGTTTAAGTTTCTAAATGATGAAAGTTGTAAAATGAGGAAAGATAAATGATACATCGATATATTATGGTTCCCCTTATAATCCAAGAGTACTTCAGTCCCCTTACGCCATAAGAGATTTTACTATGTTAGGATTTATACAAGACTATCCTAGTTTTTCTATACAGACACAAACAAAAACCACCAAGAACAATCCTCTTGGATTTTTACTAAGTACACTAAGAGAACAATTCTTCCTTAATGACTCTCTTGTTTTCAACAATCCTGGACAACAAGGATTACAACAAATAATATGAATTTTTACAAGAGTTTGAAATAAAAATTACAATGCCCACATAACCGGTTACCACTGAACCAGTGGCTAAAAAAAACTTTAATTTTTTCATTCAAATGATTTTCAAAAATTATTCTTAAAGCATGGCATGCATTCACATTTTGCACTCATTTGTAGAGGTGTCTAGAGGCTATATAAACATCAATCTTCATATTTTCTTACTATCTCTTTCATCTACAATTCAAATCATTTTATTCTCTTCATCTTTCAAAATTCTTAAGTGTTCTATATCAAAAAATTTGGTGAAACTTTCTGCATTTAATTTTTATTGAAAATAATCATAAGTTTCATTCCATACATACTTGAACACTTGTATATCACTAAGGGAATTGTATGCTTGAAGGAGAAGATCAATCAAGAGATTGATACATTGTACTTTTTATTTCAAACTCTTGTAAAAATGTCCACAAAATGCAACACATGAGTATGGTAACCAGTTACTGCAAACCTGGTAACCGATTACTAGCAGACCTAAACCAAAATTTGCCTTAGCAACAAGAAGAAAGGCAAGGTTTTAATGCACAAAAAATACATGGCATGAATGAATGATAACATTGAGCACTTGTATACACATAGAGAGGTTGGGTGTTTTATACCTTAACAATTATGATCAATCCAATATAATTTCTTCAAGACTTTATTTATTTTCATTGAAACTTGACTTGTGCTAGGAGTCTTGAACTATTTCCTTTTTTTCAATCTTACTTGCTTGTTGATTTATTTTCATCAAAACACTTTGAGAAGCTTGACTTCACAATCTCCCCCTTTTTGATGATGACAACCCTTTCTTGAAAGTTTGATCCAATTTGTCTTTCTCTAACCCTTGAAACTACCCATTGATCAAAGCTCTCGCTTGATCCATGCTTGAGAGTACTTAAAATATTTTTCTAGCTTCACTTTTTTTAGAGAAAAACACATACAACAATATAGTATCTTTTCCCCCTTTGTCATTAACAACAAGGATGGGAAAGATTAAACATTTAATATCACAAGTTGCATGTAAAAGAAAACATAGTATACTTCACATAACATTGATATAACATATTGTAATAAATAGAACACATGATAAAAATCAAGAAACATACTTCATATCCATCTAATGTCTTAACTTAACCAAGGTGAAATGGTAACACATAACATAAAGATATACCATACAAGTCCAAACATAACTAGAAATTAAGCTAATAATACCATACACTTAAACTTAAAAAGAAACATGGAAATATCATAATATCAAGAGAGACACAAAACAACTTAATCACTTTCCGACATTTCCACATCTTCCTCTTCTCTTTCTTCTTCTTCTTCTTCTTCTTCTTCTTCTTCTTCTTCACTTGCTTATTGGTTTTGGGTTTGTAAGAGATGTTTAATGGAAACCATTTCAAGCTTGAGTTCTCGAAATCAATTAACCATGAAAGTTTCAACTGAACACAACTTGTTGTACATAACCTCATTTGTGTATCCTCCTTCTAGAGTCGGTGGATGAGCATTTGTAAAAGGATCATCTTTGTACTTGAAGATGCCATTATTATCAACAATGATGTCGGTGTTCCAAAGAGCGGTTCCCGAATTAATTTCACATTCTTTCATACTCATTTTCTTCTTAGGCTCCCTTTTCAAATCTATATCATAGTATTCCAATAACTTGGTTATTACCCTAACATAGGGTAATCTAGAACTTAGTCTTTAAAGATGTTACATATGGTGAATGATGGTGTAGGACCAATTTATCTTGATCTTGTTTTTGAAAGCATATATCAACTGCATCTCTACATCTCCTATTTGAGAATGGTTGGAGTTTTTTTTGGCATTCACACATAAGTTATCAAATAGTGCAACATACGATCACTCACAGTCATATTTTGGGTAAAAACAATCAGAAAAGTTGTTAAATATTAGAACTTCTAAGTCCTTAGTGTTGTTTTAATCTTTAAGTTTATT